CACTGGAGGCCTTTTACTGGATCCAAAGATGACATCTAGAATATAACCCATAGACATTATCAGAGAACTATCAACCCAGCATTATATAGGTACTATCATCAACAACCATTTGCATCAACTCTTTGTGTTTAATGGTTTGATTTCAAGATCTGATTCTTGATGATATGAGATTTTGTACGTGAAAATAGTCTAGCAGTACCATTTTGTACACTTACCATCAGTGATGGTGATATCTAGCTTCCCTCCAGTCGAGTTTAACTTCAACCTGTTATAAATGAATTTCAGTATAAACTAGTTATTAAATGTACAAACACCACGTACATTTTTTCAAGAAAGGTTAAGCTTAACTTAAGTTAATCACTTTTTTGTGAGAAACCACCGCACTCAAACATTTGAACTTTTCAATGCTGACTTTCTTACTTACATTGTCYAATAGCTGTATTTACGACAACTCTAAGGATTTTCACGCATCAGACTCCAATAAAAACAACATTGTTGACGTTTTCATGCAAAAACAGTAGCATCTTTTTGTTCACAAAAAACGAGTAATCAGTATTTTTGTTTTGTTGTAACAACGAACGCGACTCGGAAGACTGGAAACTAATTCCGCTGACTGGTTGGTCCCAGTCTCCCTTTCATTCTCACTTCCAATATGGCGGATGAAGTTGTTATGGTTCGAGGACAAAAGGTCACTGCAGATGTTTCTTTATAAGGACCTTAATAATTAAGTATGTCATCATAACTATAAATAAGAAACAAAAGATATATTTTGAATGCATTGCAATGTTTTATTGAAGGTTAATGCCTGWTGTTTGATATCTGTTCATTCGAATGGCTTCGAGTTCTTGGGGATCTCTTCCAGATCATATAATCGCTTCAATTTTTACACATTTTAGTCATTCAGAGAGATGTAAACTAGCATTGGTATGTAAAACATGGCTTGATGCCTTTAGATCGCCATCGTTATGGCATGCATTTCAATTCGATTTTATATCGGCTGACGAATATCGGTACGAGTCGTTYCTCAAGCAACATGGACATCATCTTCGAGACGTGAAAATCCGATGTGAYCAAGAAGAGAAARTCAACAGAGAAAACGCATTAAAACTTATCCATGATCTGCGGCATCTAACGAAGCGGCGTATCGATGGTATTACTGTACAGTTCATCGGTGAAAATCCACTCTTTTACGTTGGTCATGAGTTTATTCAAAGTTTACAAGASTTTTTCAGTCCCTTGCTTGACGAAGATARGAAGTGTAAAGTTATGTCTCGACTACGAAGAGTGGATTTATCAAAAGTCTCRGTAACATTTGTCAAYGATTTATTTCTTTGCCTCGCCGAGAACAACAGTGATACACTTGAATATCTAAACATTCAGAATGCTTCCCTTGTCTGYAAAGTTACTGCAAGCTGCATCCTAAAGCTGGTCCAAAAATGCCGGAAATTGAAGTACTTGGCGACACACTATGGAAACATAAACGATGAAGTTCTMTTGGCTTTTGCTGAAGAGGAAAGAGYTCCTCTGSAACATCTTTCTGTCTTGTGTAGACGCGAGGAAAAGTACAGACTCGCCACAGAATCCCAAACATGGCAGACTGTCATCAGGAAACTCCCAAATCTTCGCGTGACACTTTGGTTTGACTATTCGTGYCCAATGTTYAAAGTTGACGGTATTTTGAAGCCTGAAATCCCAGTATCATGTCTGAAGCTTCTGATCCAAGCAAGAGTTGTACAGTATGTTTATTTTGCAACCCAGTATTACAGTAAAACKTTAGAGAAAGTTGCTCTTTCAACCACCAATTCTCCCGAGTTTGAAAATGCGCTGCTTCACCTCGTTTCAGCTTGCTCAAAATTAACTGAACTCCACGTCTTTCAATGCACAATTTCCTCAAAARTTCGAGATGAAATTTTGCAAATTCGTCCAGAATTGAAAAGATTTACACTTAAGACAAATGAGGACGTCCCTCTGTACTGATATAGTTTAATGGACAAAATACTGACACTCAACATCCATGTGAAGTTTTGGGAACTTTTGTTGAAAATCAGACAAATTCTTTCMGAKCTGAATCAATTACCACTTCAATCAATAATCAAAAATCACTTTGCTGTTTTGAAAAATACAGAAAAATACCTATAGGACTGCAAAAATATTACAATTAAAAACAATTAAAGCATGTTTTTATACATACATTTACACAAATAAAATGCCCAAATATAGGAATATTTGAGTCTTGAATTGAATGCATGCCTGTTATTTTTAGTTATGGCGTTCTAGGTGTTGCCATGGAAATAGCGGGTAAAGCAATGAAATGTGCGCGMCCTTGGAGTGTCAGTAGAACTTACCATCAGTYGGTTATATATTAACTCATCATCACTGGTCACAGTATAGTCACGGTCGCCTTCTACTAACTATGTTCTATGTATTCAGAAATAACGTTCTTTTAGTGTGCGCTCTGATTTCGCCCTGGGGCATGACATCCGGATCGCGTTCCAAGATTCCGGATTCCATTAAAAATGTCGCAAGGATTCCAACACATTGGATTCAGAATGCAAAGCATCTCAGCTTGTCGTCAGTGACACGTTTAGTCTCTAATTTGGATTACGAATACTCCAATTTCGAGTTCTGCCGGTATAGYACTCGGCTTTACCTCGTGCTCCCTGATTGATGCTTCTCTTCTTCGATTTTAACTTTTTTTCCAGCTAAAACAGATCGAAAAACATTCGAACACTAAAATTATTGTTGTTAAATGTTATATTCTGCAGTTTTATGAAAAATTTAAAGTATCAACTATCCCCTATTGTATTAGTCTCAGGGGCGGGRGACAGGGAGCCCGCCMCTAAGAACGGCTGTGAGGAGACTACTATTACATGCAATTATGACCACGAGGTCGATCGAGTCGTCTAAGAGTTGAYATAGTTCACGATGCGTAATTCGAGCATATTTTAAAATTAAAATTTTTCGGTCTAAAAGTTGCCTTTTATTTTTAACA